GTATGTAGATCTGTCTTTAGCTCAGGAATCCTGTCTTTGACTCTGATTTCTATTCCATTTGGCCTCTGCTGCAGTTCTCTCTCAATCATATGTCACTTACATCCTTATCGTTTTCTCTTTCACAGTTTTCATGTCTCTGTCCTTTCCCTCTAAATTTTAGGAGAGTTCCTCCAATTTATTCTCCATATTTCTGAATCAGTTTTCTAGGGAATCATTTCTCTTTTCTGCTTTCAAAGCGGATTTTAATTGTGCTGTGGATTTTTAGATTTTGGTTTTGGCTTTTCCAGGTCTTCTTTCTCTTATATGTCACCCTTTTTTTGTGTGTGTCATCATAGAGCCTTTTTAGCTCAGCCTCGTCTTTCCTTATGGCTTTCTTTTTCTATTTCACAGAGGCTTTGTCTTTTTAGAAATTTTTTAGTCTGCCATGCCCATTCAGTTACATATTGTCTATAGCTGTTTTCCAGCTATGGTGACAAAGTTTGAATAGTTATAATAGAGACCGTATGGCCTGCATAGCTTGAAATATTTATTGTTTGGCACTTTGCAAAAAAAAAAAAAAAAAAAAATTGCAGACCCCGATACGAGCATGACAGCTGGGTTCCCATCTCAGCTTCAAGCTGGATGGAAGAGGAAGGAGTGTATGCAGCTCCACCTCGAGTTCCTAATTCTTACCAGTCTTTTCCCTTGACTCTGCTCTGTGGAGGTGAAACCCTCTACTGCTTAATTTTCTCATTCTCTACCTCAGTGATTTAGATAAAAATGCAAGTTCAGATATCCACTGCAAACACTGTCCTTCCTGTCTTTACCCTCCTTTAAGCTTCTCCTCCCTGGAGGAAGGCACTGCTTCTGGTGCCCCCACTCAATTCCTGCCCATTTATTTGCTGGTTGTTGTCTCCCTGTCATTTTTCCCTTTTTCAAGATCCTTTCATTCGTCAGATACAGAGCTTTGTCCGGAGGTAAAACCTGGACAGGTTTTGCTTATTCCACCACCATCTGCCTTTAATTAATGGAGATTGCTCCCAGATTCCAACACTGGGTCATCTATCAGTTTAGTTTTTGGCATTAGTGTGAATTTTCATTTTTTTCCATTATCTTTATAGTTATTTTGGAACAAAACAAGGAGAGGCTACATGGGTGGCTGCCAAGTAGATGCCATTTTGAAGGAGTCAAAGCTACATTTTAAAGCTGTGGTTTGTCCATCTTGAAGCAGTCTCTGTAGCTTTGTGTATATTTGATAAAAGAAGAAAATACAGGAACATTTTCCCTTATCCAGGGACTACTTTTCCAATGACCTCAATTCTCTGGAATATCACCAAAACAAAGAGTCCACAAGCAGCCAGATAGCTGCTTCAGTGTCTATGTTCTGGAGGTTATTCACTTTACCCAAAGGAGAGCATTTCAGCCTCTCATTCCAAGTCTATTTACCCATGTGTTACATACAATCCTAACAAGCTTGTCTTCCTGTTTTCGGAGCTCACAATAAATTGTAAGCAGCAGATCTGAAAGGAGTAGAGGACATTGTACAACAACAAGCACACTGGCCTGAACTGAATTTCTGGCTGACAGAGAGGAAGGACGTAGGACGCCCCCCCACCCCACCCGCTGCCACACACACACAAGTACAACTACAGATATTCAGAGGCCAACACTATTTTCTAGGGGCAGACAGCTTGAGTTTCTTTATGTGAGTACTCACCTGTGTAGACCTTTCCTTTGCCAAGTTGGGTGCTCTGTGCAAGTCATGGGTGCAGAGACCCTGTCCGCATTCTCACAGCTACAGTTAGCTCAGACAGTGGTTTCTAACCCTGGCTGCACATTAGAAGCACCTGGAGAACTTTAAAACTTTGGCCACTCAGGCTGCCCCCTTAACCGATGATATCAGAATGTCTTGGAGGTGAGACTCAGGCATCGGTGTTTTTTAAAGTTCCTGAGTAATTTCACTGTGTAGCCAAGATTGGGGTGAGGAATACAGACTCTGCAGCCAGACTGCTTCATTTGTAAATGAGGCTGATTGGCAGGGTAGACAGTGTGCCACATGCCTCGTTAGTGCCATGTGAGGGCTGCCATTATTGAAACACAGACTCTTGATATTCAGAAGGATGGCTGTGATTTGTCAAGTAGGGTCTGGAGCTGGAGCTAATTAGGCAGTGATGGATGCCACACATTCTAGGATGATTTCTGTCCCAGGTGGACTTGGCTCTGAAAAGAAGAGCCATAGATGTTACCAGGAGGGAGAGTGATGGAAAAGGAAGGGGGGAAGTGGGAGCTGAAGGTGCAAGAGTGGGTCGTCGCAGGACTCAGCCACCTTCCCTTCTACTCTGCGGTACAGAGCTTGCTTGGGGCACACACCCTGGAACCCTTCTGATCTCTAGTTTCCTCATCTTTAAAATAGGACCTGGCAATCTTTACCTCATAGGGTTGCTCTGAGGCTCTGAAGAGCTTACGTGCTCCAGTGTTATCTCTTGACCCAGTTTGTCAACCTCAGGGCTGAGATGGAGTGATGTGTCTTGACCCATGCAGGAGGCAGGGCGGAGGTGGTTTCCTCCTGACCAGAATGCAAGTACTAACTAACATAGGCCAATGTCTTTCATAAAAAATAAAAAAGTGATGAGAGTGGGTTCAGTCAGGGCTGTCCCTATAATAACGTCACCCAGCACCACTTGCATTCCAGTTCACTTTCCTAAGTGGAGCAAGCAGGGCGGGATTCCAGCCAGCTCACTCAGGACCACAAGGACTTACGCACAACCTGGGTTTAGCCATAGCAGTGGCTTTGCTGTGAGCGTCATTCCATGAGCTGGCAGAGACGTGGCTGAGAGCGGCTGTTCCCAACAGTGAAGTGCAGTGTGATGATGCTGTTGCCAGTGCCATTGATCTTTGTGTTTGGGACACCGTCCCCTCACAGCTCGACCTTTCGGGCCAGGCCACAGTAGAATGCAGGCCATGCTCTCTGGATGACCCAGTCCCTGCATTTCAAGAAGTCTTTACTCTAATAACCAACTAGCCATCCAGCTGGCAGGAGGGACTGGCACTGCAGCCTCTGGTGCTCCCTGGGTAGGGCATCCTGGGGTGGGGGATCCAAGGGCTCAGACCACAGGGAAGCAGGAAGAGGGGCTGTTTTTCCTCTTTCCTGAGACTGGTTCTTATCTAGGTGCCCCAGGAAGCTGGCTAAGAAGGCAGTAGGGAGCCGCAAGGCTGTGGATCCCAGGGCAATGGGATGGAACTGTTTCTCTTTTAATTGAGGCACTAGTCAGTATATCCTGGGACCTCAAAGGAGGCAGCCACCTCCCATGGGGCCAGAGGCTGACTCTGGGGTGATCTCTAAATATTCCTTACAGATCTAAGCCATGGGTTGGGGGTGGGGGGAGGTGGCACTGGGAGGCTTGACTTTGTGCTCTGGCCTTGTCCTGTGCTCCCATGCAAATCTTTACCCCTAACTTGGTTTTCCCCTCTGCAGAATGAGGGGCTGGCACTTGCTCCTGGGCAGTCACTTGTGAGTGTGTGTGTGTGTGTGTGTGTGTGTGTGTGTGTGTATCCCTTTCACCTTTCTAGTCCCCCCACCCCATCCCTCACCATGGTTTTCCTCTGCAGAAGGAGGGGCTGGCACCTGCGCCTGGGCAGTCTCTTGTGAGTGTGTGTGTGTGTGTGTGTGTGTGTGTGTGTGTGTATCCCTTTCACCTTTCTAGTCCCCCCACCCCATCCCTCACCAGGACACACACCCAACCCATTTCCACAACCCCATGCTGTCATTGCTTCTAAAACAGACTGAACCCTCCAGCAATCCCCAGGCCAGCATGGCTGGTCTTCCTCTGCCAACATTCTGGGAGTTGCTAGCACATGGGGTTCTCTTCATCCCAGTTCTGAGCTTAGCACCCTCTCACACTGAGGGGGAATCTACTGGTGTTTACTGAGACACAGCATGGTGTAACCAAGAGTATGGTGACTTTGGCATTTCAAACCCATGTTCAAGACCTAGCCTCGGTGCTAGATGTCTGGGATGCATGGGGTGGGTGGCCTCCGTTTTTTTTACCTGCAGAATGGGAGTAACACCCACACATCAAAGAATGGTTGTGAGAAATGAATGAGATCCAGCATGTTGAGTAGTAGTCCAAGGCAGGCTGGAGTGGTGAATTGGGCCTGTGTGGTGGGCTGCCCATTATGCTGAGTATCACACACGGACCTGGCAAAAGAATTGTATCACCTGTCCAAAGAGCAGAAAGAGCTGGCAGGGGGAGGGTGCAGTAGGCTGGAGCTGGAGGTACGCACCTGGTGGGCCGCCACAAGCCACCCCCAGGAGAAGCAGGCCTGGTTGCTGGCAGGCCCCAGGGCCCCCCACATCCTGTCCAGCTCATGCTCGGGTTGTGGGAAGCCCCCAAAGCGATACCCAGTGGATGCAGGCCGGGCAGCCCTGCCTCTCAGCAGTAGGGCCCATTAGAACTGAACTCTTCTTCGGGGGGCATTTTATTTGCACACTCCAGTAGAGTGGACACCAAAGGGTTTTTCTAATGCTTCATGGGCTGCTAATTTCCTCCGTGACCTCTTTTGTTAGGGCCTGACCCCAGCCAGAGGCTCTGCACCATGAAAGCCAGCACCTGACACAGACCCGGGGCACGGGGTGACAATGAGGCCTCTATCAGTTTTAATCAGGCTCCACTTGCGTCTTAAGAACAGGGGAATTTGTGTGGCGCTCAGAAGCCCTGGGTGGCACAATGCGGGAGCCCCCAGTGTCCCTCACGGAGGCCAAGGGGGCTGCAAGCAGCGGCTAAAGGATTCGTCAGGCCAGAGTGGGGGGTAGGTTGGGCAGGGGCCTTTTGTCCCAAGCTCCTCTTTAGAAGCCAGTCCTGCCATGAATGGCCGTCAGCTTGGCCTGGCCCATGAGTATCGCCGGCCTCTGGGTATTTAGGGAGGCCTCTGAGTATTTAGGGAGGCGGGCTCCCGCTTACCGCCAGCCTATTCAGCGCCATCCTAATTAGGTTTTGTCTGTGCTCTCCCCTCCCCTGCAGACTGTGATTCCTACTGCAAGGCCTCCAAAGGGAAGCTGAAGATTAACATGAAAAAGTACTGCAAGAAGGACTATGGTGAGTGAGAGTTCCGTTGTCTAGAGAAGAGGGGAGGGGGTCATGTGACCAGCGAGGAGCAGGGGTTACGGTAAAAGTGGCCCCGAGTGAGTGTTGGTGATAAAGGCCCTGTGGCTGGACAGGAACTGAGCTGGACAGATCCCATGACCTGGAATTTCTCATCTCTTCTACCCTGGCCCTCGGAGGGGCCACAGAGCCTGCAGGGGGGCACCCAGGCCAGTAGGGTTGTGTAGGGCTGGGACTTCCAGGCTGGCTTCTGGTCTTCACTCTGCTCCAAGAAGCTGTGTGGCTGCAAACCTGTCACTTTACCTCTCTGGTCTTCAGTGCCCTCATCCATTCTGTGGACATTTAACCTGAGACTCTGTTGCTCAAGGGAGGTCCTGTAGACATCAGGAAAGGGGATGGGAACTCCGTGGTTTGCTTAAAATGCAGATTCCCGAAGTCTCCTTCCTCTAAGGGTTGAACCCACAAGGTTGAGGTGGGTCAAGGAATATGCGTTTTAAATGGCTTGCTGGTAATTCTAATGCCCCCGAAGTTTGAACACAGCCACAGGGGGATCTCCACGGGCCTTTCCAGCCCTGGGAGCCACCTGCAGAGATTCCCTGTCACTTGAACCTTCAGGCTCCCTAAACTTGGAAGGGGGTGCCCAATACCCCTACTCTCATTACTCACTGTTCTCCCCAACCTTGGAGACAGTGAGCCCCTGAACCCCTTCTCTGTCGAGCCTCCCCTTTCCCGCCTGCTTAAACACTTGCTGAGAATCTCCTTGTACTGGCCCCACCCTGTGGGAGGCGAGGAGCTGGCTTTGCGGTTTCTGGTCCCTGAGAATGTTCTCACTGGCCAGACAACATGTGACACGGAGTCACGGCCTGCCTGCGGTCATGGTGGGTGGGAGGCAGTTGGGAACCTGCAGGAGAAGGGGAAGCCTTATTGGTCCATGGGCAGGTGTGGGCGAATGGCTGAGAGGGCACTTCAGAGCAGGAGAAGCAAACAAGTCCCAAGAGAATTTTCCAGCCATTCACTGGCAGAGCTGAGAAGGCCCCTGTGTAGAGACTAGGACCCCGATGTGGGTGGCTGAAGCCCGGATGGCCCAGCCAGGATGTAGCTGCAATGTGGACGCAGGCCCAGGGGCTCTGAACCCAGTTCTGGTGCTTTCCACCATGACCCAGCAGGTCTGGCTGATTGGGGCTGTGGCTAGTCCTCTTCTTCCCAGCCCCCAACAGTTCACTCGGCCCATCTACCCACTCCAGCTGGATGTTGCCCCTCTCCAACTGGCCCCCAGAGGCAAATTCCCCACCCAAGGCTTTAGCGGCCCCACTGAACCTAGCATCACTCTGGCCTCATCTGGGAAAATGGAGTTCCCTTTTTTCTTCCCAGTTTTCCAGGTCTGGCCTGATAATGCTCCTTCTGTGGAACCTGGGGCAAGCCCAGTTGCTTATTTGAGCCTCAGTTTCCTTTTCTGTAACATGGAGGTAATGCACCTACTGTGTGTGCTTGGGAAACACCTAGCACAAGCCTGATGTCTAATGGGCTTCCAGTATGGAATGACCTCTACTAGTCCGCAGGAGGCTGGGCAGGAAGGGAGGAAGGAAGAAGTGGAGATGGAAGAAGTGAGATGAAAAGGAAAGGCCCCTAATGAGGAGGACTCATCTTCCAGATCCATCTATTATGCACTCCATCCCTCCTGACCCACAGGGTCTGGCAGCTTGGCCCTGGAAGTCTGGCCCCCTGGGGGTCCTAACTCGGCCAGCTGTTTCAACCAAACATAAGGATTTTTTTCCTTTAATAAGGACAATGATTAGGTCTTTTTAGGAGAAAGAAATGAATGATGAGACCCAAAGGAAACCAGAGGAATTTTGAGAACTTCTAAAACTTTCTCATTCTGCTGTGCGTGTGCACATATGCGCGCACACACAACACGCACACCCCACTCGCAGTGATCCAGCCACGCTCCCTGCCAGCAGCCTGGCCTCCCATGGGGTGAAGCCACTGGCAGGTTTTGTGTGTTGATTCAGAAGTGGCCAGGCCATGTATATCCCTGCTCAGACCCCTCTGAGGTCCATAGTAAGTTCCTAAAAGCCCCTTTAGAGGGTTTGCACTCCAAGGTAGTACAGAAACTTCTGCTTCCACCAGAAGACAAACCTTGATTTTGAAAAGAAACTTTGAGGTGGCTTCAAGATAAAGGATGTGCTGTCTTGAGCCAGGGTGACAGCTATAAAGAGAGGCCCCAGATTGTTCTGGATGAAACTTGTGTGGCCCCAAGGTACAGGGCTTTGTCTTCCCAGACCCAGGTGTCTGAGTCTGTTGGGGACTTCGAGGTGGCCTTCTGCGGGCAAGAGGGACTGAGAAGTCTGCCACATTCCCAGGCTGGGGGTCTGAGGGCCGAGCCCAGCCCGTCCTCACAGGCTCAGCGAAGAGCCCTGTGCCTCTCGCCCTGCCTCCCCTCTTCCTTTCTTCCTGCCTAGAACAGAGGCTGGAGGGAAAAGGAATAAGTGGCCTATATGGGGGAAGGTTGTTTTAATTTTAGTCTCGAAGCATCCTTAAGTAGACGCTATGGAGGGAGAGCCAGGAGAACGGAAGAGCTGAACAGTCTTTCTTTCCATAAGGTGTCGCCCCGCAGGCCCTGTTCTGTTTTTCAAATGAAAAAGGAAAAATTGGACTTTTATTTAAAAGTTACCAAAACAGATCCCATTTTCCACCTTATTCTGTTTGATTCGGTCCTGTTTTGTTCTCTTCTGACTTCTTTTTCTCCTTGGAATCCTGCCTTTCTTACCCCTGATATTCTCAGGGACCCTTGGCATTCTCAGAGCTCCCCTGGCCACCTCACTCACCAGCTGGCAGGCCCCCTCTCTCTGTGGAAGGGGCCCTGATGCCCTCCTTTCATAGACCCAGGGAGGTCCCCAGGCCCTCCCCGCGCCCCACCCCTGCTGGTGCCCCGTCCCGGCAACAGGGGCTTCTTTCCTGTGGGTAAGGATGGGTGGGGCACAGCCTTTGGTTTCCACTTGACCTCTGCTCCCTGACTCAATCCTTGCCTTCCCCCCACACCTCAGTCCCTCATGGATTATCAGACTGAAGCAAGTGTCAGTGGTGGCGGGCTTCAGTTCCCTCATGTCACAGATGGGACCCTCATCCAGCCGCTGCCCAACAGAGGTCCAGCCTCCTGCTCCTTCCACAGGCCCTTCCCTGGGTCCCCCCTCAATATCATATTTAGCCCCAGGACCCTACCTGTCCTGGGGCAAGAGGAGCTAGGAACAGCCCTGCATGCCCACCTTTCCAGACTTCATCAAAGCTACCCCTGCTGCTGCCCCCACACCTACGGCCAGGCACTGCCCATCATCCACAGTTCTGCCGCAGGGCAAGACTTGAGGAGCAGCAGATGCAGGAGAGAAGTGGGGTGCCCCCTCAGGCCGCTGATGAGGTCTGAAGCTGTTGTGCTGTTAGCTTTAATGTCCTCCTAACTGTGCCCCCTGGCCTGTTGCCCAAGGCCAGGCCGGACATTGCCTCTCCTACTCCCCAAAAAACATTGGGGGGTTTTCTGGTCCCCAAGACTATTCCTTATACTCTTGGGATTACCTGAAAGTTGGAGAACATCTCCACCCATTTCAGTGTATTTAGGCAGGAAGCAAGACAAAGAAAGTGTCAATAAGGGCTCCTAGGGACAGCTTATAAGAGCCCAGCAGGGTGAGGCGGGTAAGGCCTCAGGGAGGGAGTGAGTGGCACCCACAGAGTCTGGGCTGGGCCCACTGGCACAGCAGGAGGCCGGTCCAGCAGCAGCTGCAGGCCTAGCTCTGAGGCTGGGGGACCAGGTCTTGGCTTAAGTCTGCAGGACCTTGTAGAGAATCATTCCTATGTCCTGTTGGGACCCTGGACCCCTGGCTGAAGTGTGAGTAGGGGTGTCCTTCCTATAGTGGGGACAGACCTGGGCCAGCCCAGGGGAAGATGAGCAAGAAGAGGATGAGGATGGTGCTGGCCTGGGGATGGGAGAGTAGGTGAGGCTGGCCTGGGCAGGCCAGGCAAGGAAGGCTGGCGAGGGAGGTCTGGATGAGCTGCATAATCTCTGCTCTGTGACTGACACCCCGGCAGGGAGCCAATTAGGAAACACATTTCCTTCACTTACAGCCAGGGTACTTGGATGTTTCGGGAGCTGCTAATTGGAACCTCAAGTTTGCTGTCCCTGCTGGGTGAAGAGCAGGCCCCTCCTCTGAGGCCAGCTCACTAGAGAGTCTTGATGTTGTGTGGTTGCAGAGCATGGATTTGGGTCTCCACTGACCTGGCCAGTAGACCCAAGACTGGGGGAAGCTGGGGAATGAGGAATGTCCAGGGGGCCGGCCTGGAGTGTGCAGATCCTGCCCTGTGTTCTTTTGGCATGTTGACCGATGAGAGAGGGCCCAGCCTGGGTAGGGTTGGGGTGGGCGCCCAGCAAGACAAGAAAGAATTGGAGTGGGGGAGGGCCTCAGGCCAAGCCCCGCTGTGCTTCTCATGTCTGTCCAGAGAAACCCTATAACAGGGAAAGGGACACTGGCCCCAGAATCTGGTAAGACACAGATTCCTAACTTGCTCTGTGACTTTGGACAAGAAGCCTTACCAAGCTGGGCCTCAGTGTCCTCATCTGTCAAATGGAGATGTGATCAAGGGGACCTGACATTCATCTAGATAAGACATGTCACGGCCCCAACACGCCAGTCGCCATCTCCAAGGGCAGGGGTCCTTGGTGAGGCTATTATTGCCGGTCCACCTATCCTGGGACCACCTCAGTCCTCTGTTGCCCTCTAGGGGAATCCAGCTCACCTTGCAAATGCTTGAAAAAGCACCCACGAGAAAGCTTAACGTGGGACAGTTGTTCACAGAAGAGTTTTTATTATTCTCAAGTGTATTAGCAATTCCTGACAACTTCTCAAGAAACTCAGCCTTGGAGGAGCCCTTCCTTTGTATAAATGCTTCGAGTGAGTGTGCTTCAGTGACCGTGTGTGTGAATATGTGTGTGCGAGTGTGTCTGCATC